AAAAAAAAAAGAAATCATATCTGGAATAGATAACTGTCAGTAAGAAAAAGACAAACCAGTATAAAATGGACAAAAGGCAAGAAAGGAGTTTCACAGAAGGGGAGATAAGAATGCCTTATAAAAATATGAAGTTACTGAAATCATTTAGTAACCAGGAAATTATAAATTCAAATTCATATCACAAATGTCATAGATACCAGGATTTTTTTTTTTTTTTTTTTTTTTTTGGAGACAGAGTCTCATTCTGTCACCCAGGCTGGAGTCAGTGGCATGATCTCTGCTCCCTGTAGCCTCCACCTCCCGGGTTCAGGGGATTCTCCTGCCTCAGCTTCCCGAGTAGCTGGCACTACAGGCATGTGCCACCACACGCCACTAATTTTTGTATTTTTAGTAGAGACAGGGTTTCACCATATTGGGCAGGCTGGTCTCGAACTCCTGACCTCGTGATCTGCCTGCCTCGGCCTCCCAAAGCGCTGGGATTACAGGCGTCAGCCACTGCGCCTGGTCCCAGACATCAGATTTTAATTTTTAAAAAAGATGGTTGTAGACGCACAGAACTACCATGTACTTACTACTGCAGGACTGTATCTTCAATTAGGCTCTTTGGAAAATAACTTGGTGTTACCTCCTATTTTATTATGCTAGAGAAACTTGAATATGTACAGTAGGAGACGGGTACAAGAATGTTTATGGCAGCATAGTTTTTAATAGCAAAGACTGAAACCACATCCACTTATGGAAGAATAGATTCATAAATTTTAGTGTATTCATTGAGTGGATACTATACAGCAGTGAAAATAAATTATAGTCATGTTGGTCATAATCTGGAGGAATCACAAAAATAATGTTGAGAAAAAAGTCAGTGAAAAACATAGTATGATTTCAATTATGTAAAGTTAATAAGCAGGTAAAAATTAAACAATAAATTGCTTAGGGATGACTGGGAAAACTGTAAAGAAAAAAGGGAATGCTTACTACGTAATTCTGAATAGTGGTTACTTTTGGGTTATGAGGGAAGAGAAACAGCTTCAGAGATAACTGGAATTATTGTATTTCTTTCTTTTTCTTTTTTGAGATGGAGTCTTTCTCTGTCGCCCAGGCTGAAGTGCAGTGGCGCGATCTCGGCTGTCTGCAAGCTCTGTGTACCAGGTTCACACCATTCTCCTGCCTCAACCTCCCGAGTAGCTGGGAGTATAGGCGCCCGCCACCACGCCCGGCTAATTTTTTTTTGTATTTGTAGTAGAGACAGGGTTTCACCGTTTTAGCCAGGATGGTCTCCATCTCCTGACCACGTGATCCACCCTTCTCGGTCTCCCAAAGTGCTGGGATTACAGATGTGAGCCACCGCACCTGGCCACTAGAATTACTGTATTTCTTAAGCTAATTGATAGCTACGTGGATGTTTGACTTACACTTACATTGTCTTATATCTTCTAAATACCCTTGTATCTTCTAAATACCCTTGTATGTGTGTTTTCAAAATAAAGGCTTTTAAAATAAGCAAAAAAAAAAAAAAAAAATCTGAAACTTAATCTTTTCCTATTTTCATCCTTATTTTTCTTCATTCCAACCAGTATATACACAGATCCCTTGTTTTATGTTTTGTTTTGACCGAACTTAGGAATTAAGACAGCTGCTTACTTTTGTGTTAAATAGTTTAAAAGGTCAGCATGGGCCAGGTACAGTGACTCCTGCCTGTAATCCCAGCACTTTGGGAGGCCAAGGCAGGAGGATCATTTGAGCTCAAAAGTTTGGGACCAGCTTGGGCAACATAGTGAAACCCTGTCTCTATTTAAAAAAAAAAGAAAAAAGAAGAAAGTCTGCATGCTTTTTAAGATAAAGGAGGCTGGGCACAGTGGCTCACGCCTGTAATCCTAGCATTTTTGGAGACCAGAAAAAGTGGGCACATCACTTGAGGCCATGAGTTTGAGACCAGCCTGGCCGACGTGGTGAAACCCTGTCTCTACTAAAAATACAGAAATTAGCTGGGCATGGTGTGCCTGTAATCCCAGCTACTCAGAGGCTGAGGCAGGAGAATCACTTGAACCCGGGAGGCAAAGGTTGCAGTGAGCTGATAACATGCCCCTGCACTCCAGGCGACAGAATGAGCTTTGTCTCAAAAACAGGAAAAAAAAAAAAAAAAAAAAGGATAAAGGAGCTGACTTTAGGAAATAGGAAGCAAGGCTCACTCAGCTTTGCAAAGAAGTGGGTCATAGAGATTTATAGAGACTGGGTGTTGTAGTTCACTATCCATGTAAATGACCCCAGCAATGATTTACTGTTGCTGCTCCCACTACCACTAATGATGGTAATAATGGGGAGATGCCATTTATTGCAAGCTTTATTGTCAACACAGGCTCTTTTCATCCCCACTTAGTCATGAGGAAAACAGGGTGCCCAAAACATCATAGCCAGTTCTTGGCAGAGCTAGGATTTGAACCCAAATCTTATCTGACTTTGGATTTTGTGCTCTTAACCCTGTTATGCTCTACTAAGGCAATCAGGTGAGTTTAGCCTAAAGATCATATAAAGGGAGACAGGATAGATTCAGATGCCTGAAAATTAGATTGTAGAAGGGGGTTAGACTTTGTTCTGTGTTATATACTAGAGGCAGTGGTGACAAACACAGGAAAACAGATTTCTTCTCAGTGCTAGAAAGAACGTTTTAATCCTTACGTCTGTCCAGCAGCTGTTTGTCACAGTGCTTCAGCACCCATGACGTGGTGGGCTCTCATTGAGTAGGTGGCCATTTCTTTCCTGAATGAAGAAATGAGGGAGGCTGGAGTGAGCATCCCCGTCACTGAAACTAGAACAAGCAGACCCTGGGTGTGCTTCGATTTGGGCCACTACAGAAGAGATCACTATGTGGGTTAGGAAGCTGGACTAAACACCTTAAGTCATTTTCAACAAACACTCAGCTCCACCTATCTGACCCTAGTTAGGATCTGGGTTCCTTAACCCAGTGGTAAATGTGTTTGAACTTAATCTTTAGGAAGCCTTTTGAGCCTATACCAAAATCATTATAAAAACTAGATTGAATATTTTTGAGGGCAGGTCTCTTCTTTTTCACTGCTGTATTCCTAGTGTCTAGCATATGCTCGATGCATAGTGTAAACCAAATCTGAATTACTGTGGAAGAAAAACATACCATATGAAGAGGCAAACCAACGAAGGCAATGAGGATGTGGTGTTGTAGAGACTTAAAAAATGAATTATGCTGGGCACAGTGGCTCACACCTCTAATCCTAGCATTTTGAGAGGCTGAGGCAGGAGAATTGCTTGAGCTCAGGAGTTCAAGACAAGCCTGGGCAACTTAGTGAGACCCCATCTCTACCAAAATAAAAATTTAAAAAATAGGCAGGCTTAATGACTTGTGCGTGTAGTCCCAGCTGCTCAGGAGGCTGAGATGTGTGAATCGCTTGAGCCAGGAGGTTGAGGCTGCAGTGAGCGTGATCGTGCCACTGCATTACAGCCTGGGCAACAGAGTGAGACCCCATCTCAAAAAAAAAAAAAAACAAAAACAAACCAAAACGGCTCAAGCAGTAAGGAAGAGATTGCTGTCATTGTGATTTTTATGATCAACATCCTACAGGTTGGTTTTAATTATTTATTTTATTTTATTTTTTTTTATTGACATAGGGTCTTATCTGTCACCCAGGCTAGAGTGCAGTGGCATGATCATGACTCACTGCAACCTCTGCCTCTTGGGTTCCAAGTGATTCTCATGCCTCAGCCACCTGAGTGGCTAGGACTGCAGGCACCTGCCACCACACGCGGCTAAGTTGTATATTTTATTTTTTTTTTAGTACAGACAGGGTTTTGCCATGTTGACCAGGCTGGTCCCAAACTCCTGGCCTCAAGTGATCCACTTGTCTTCACCTCCCAAAGCGCTAGGATTACAGGCTTGAGCCACAGTGCCCAGCCTAGGTGTTAAGTATTTTTAAAAATTCATTTTGTCAGCCAGGCGCGGTGGCTCAAGCCTGTAATCCCAGCGCTTTGGGAGGCCGAGACGGGCGGATCATGAGGTCAGGAGATCGAGACCATCCTGGCTAACAAGGTGAAATCCCATCTCTACTAAAAATACAAAAAATTAGCCGGGCGTGGTGGCAGGCGCCTGTAGTCCCAGCTACTCGGGAGGCTGAGGCAGGAGAATGACGTGAACCCGGGAGGCGGAGCTTGCGGTGAGCTGAGATCGCACCACTGCACTCCAGCCTGGGCCACAGAGCCAGACTCGGTCTCAAAAAATAAAAAATTCATTTTGTCAATGCCTACTGCAGCAAGGAGAAAAAAAAAGGACATTCTGTTTGACTTTTTAAAAGTAAGTTTTGGCCAGGCAGGGGGCTCATGCCTATAATCCCAGCACTTTGAGAGGCCAAGGCAGGTGGATCAATTGAGCCCGGGAGTTTTTGAGACCAGCCTGGCCAGCGTGGCGAAACCCTGTCTCTATACAAAATACAAAAATTAGCTGGTCATGGTGTTGTGCACTTGTAGTCCCAGCTACTTGGGAGGCTGAGGTGGGAGGATCACTTGATCCTGGGAGGCAGAAGTTGCAGTGAGCCATGATCACGCCACTGCACTCCAGCCTGGGCAACAGAGTGAGACCCTGTCTCCAAAAAAAAAAAAAAAAAGTAAGTTTTGGTTTTCATTGTTATATCCCTGAGGGTGAGACCTTTTTGTCTTTGACACTGGCAGCCACTAGAAAGTGCAATAGAGTAACCCAGCAGTAATGTATTGACCTGTCAGAAGGCTAGTGTGGAACTATTTTTTTCCTGTATAAAGTCAGTTATCATGAACGTGAGCAAGAAGCACTTTATATATGTGATAAATTAGTACAATAGAATAATGGAAAGCTTCCAGTACACCTTAGCTTCGTGACAGGCATTGTGCATGAACACTTCCCTGCATAGCTCACTCTAAACAAACCTATGAGTTTGTAGCCTGAAAGAGATGCAAATAATTTCACTTGAATCTTTGAGCTAATTCAGTCATTTTCCCCACAGACCAGAGTGAACTCTGAGCAGGAACACTTCCTCATTGTACCTTTTGGGCTTCTTTACAGTGAAGTGACTGCATCCAGTTTGGTAAGAATGTCCTTCTCTTTGGTAGCTTGTATGTGCAGGTCATATTAGGTCATTTGACATCTTCAGATCAGCTAAATATGTAAAACCCAAGAAAAAAGAAAGAGCCTGTGTTTTATGTGATGTGTTCAGTTACAGAAAAACCTTTGAGAGAAGTTACAAATATTGTCACCTTGGGTTTCAATAGTTTCTAGTGAGGGTAATTTGAAGTCCTCTTGCGGTGGGGTACATTGGCTCACACCTGTAATTCCAGTACTTTGGGAGGTCAATGCGGGTGGATTACTTGAGTCCAGAAGTTCGAGACCAGTCTGGCCAATATGACAATACCCCAACTCTACAAAAAAATACAAAAATTAGCCGTGCATGTGGTGCACACCTGTATGTAGTCCCAGCTACCTGGGAGGCTGAGGTGGGAGAATTGTTGGAACCTGGGAGGTGGAGGATGCAGTAAGCCGAGGTCGCACCACTGCACTCCAGCCTGGGTGACAGAGCCAGACCATATCAAAAAAAAAAGAAAGAAAAATGAAGTCCTCATGGTATTTAAATGTTTTGTTTTTTATTTTCAGGTTAAGATCAATCTGCAAGGAGATGTAGTAGATCGTGGAAGCACTAATCTGGGAGTAAATCAAGCTGGCTTCACCTTACACTCTGCAATTTATGCTGCACGCCCGGACGTGAAGTGTGTTGTGCACATTCACACCCCAGCAGGGGCCGCGGTGAGTGGCTGCCCTGGTAGCATCTCAAGTTTTAAAGCTGCTTAGTGAAAGGCACTGCACATTTCCTCTGACTTGCCCTTCCTTGTTTATAGTCAGTAAAACTAATTTTGTTGAATATAAAAAAAATGGTTTACCACTAAGTGTGACTTTCTTAAAATAATTGTTTTTTCCTTGTAAGGGATCCATATATCCCATTTAATTTTGAAAAACATGTAATAAGTCTGAAAATGCCTATTAGATTTAACAATTAGAAAATTATGGCTGGGCCTGGTGGCTCATGCCTATAATCACACGGCTTTGGGATGCTGAGGTGAGAGGATTGCTGAGCCCAGGAGTTGGAGACCAGCCTGGGCAACATAGTGAGACCCCATCTGTACAAAAAAATTAAAAAATTAACCAGGTGTGATGCATGCCTGTACTCCCAGCTACTTGGGAGGCTGAGGTGCAAGATTTTGAACCAAGGAGGTTGAGGTTTCAGTGAGCTATGATTGTGCCACTGAACTCTAGCCTGAGTGACAGTAAGACCTTGTCTCAAAAAAGTAAAATAACAGTAAACAAAACAAAGTTATAGAGACTTGAGGGAGAGGTAAGATTTCAGGGTGTCAAAGACTGTGGGGAAGTGCAAAATGACAGCAGTAAGCAGGCACCTCATTCGAGAACAAGAATGGGAAAAGGAGAGGGCAAGCTGGCGTGGCGGGTTCAGGGTGCTGTGGGCTCAGGGAAGGGTTTTTGGGGTGCAGGAAACTTGAACATGAGGACAGTCTGTGAGGATGAGCTGGGGAAAGGGAGAGGTTGAAGCCTAGAAACCAACCTGTCCAGCTCCCTGTAGCCATCCAGCGGGACCCAGGCTGGATTGTGACGGGGAGAAGAAAAGGAGCAGCTGGGGGAAGAGACACAGGCAGTGCAGGCTGTTATGAGGCTTGGCTTCCAAGCTGCTCAGGAGCCCTCCCCTCCCCCTTCTGGTATGAACGGGCCACCTTGACAAAGCCCCAGACCCCTCCGTGTGAAAGTGCACATGCAGGCTATCTGCTCAATGTCATGTGAAAGCACAGTACTTGAGAAATATGCTTTTTATCACCAATTCTGTGTAAGAACTTTTGGGGTTTATTGTACAACAGATGACCTTATTGATTCAGTAATGCTGTATTTTAATTGATCTTGGGTTTTTTTTTGGAGATGGAGTCTTGCTGTCACGCAGGCTGAAGTGCAGTGGCGTACTCTCAGCTCACTGGAACCTCTGCCCCTCGGGTTCAAGCAATTCTCTTGCTTCAGCCTCCCAAGTAGCTGGGACTACAGGTGCACACCACCACGCCCGGCTAATTTTTGTACTTTTAGTCAAGATGGGGTTTCATCATGTTGACCAGGCTGGTCTCGAACTCCAGACCTCAAGTGATCTGCCCACCTTGGCCTCCCAAAGTGCTGGGATTACAGGCGTGAACCACCACGCCCAACCTGATCTTGATGTTTTAATGTCATGTGTGTTAGATTATTTGGATGAATATTACCTCTGGTTTGTTTCATCGTGGTTTAATAGATACGTCATTGTGTGAATGATGTGATTTTTTTTTCCTGGAAGAATGCATGTCACTCCAGCCACTAAAATGTTTATGGATTTTTAAGAAGTTTTTTTTTTTTTTTTTTTTTTAGACGGAGTCTCGCTCTGTCGCCCGGGCTGGAGTGCGGTGGCGCGATCTCGGCTTACTGCAAGCTCCGCCTCCCTGGTTCACGCCATTCTCCTGCCTCAGCCTCCTGAGTAGCTGGGACTACAGGTGCCGCCACCATGCCCGGCTAGTTTTTTGTATTTTTTTTTAGTAGAGACGGGGTTTCACCGTGTTAGCCAGGATGGTCTTGATCTCCTGACCTTGTGATCCGCCCGTCTCGGCCTCCCAAAGTGCTGGGATTACAGGCTTGAGTCACCGCGCCCGGCCAAGAAGTATTAAAGGTACTTTTGACAATATGGTTATGAACAGCTATCATGTAATGTGTTTTTGTTTGTTTTTTTGAGACAGGATCTCACTCTGTCTCCCAGGCTGGAGTGCAGTGGCACGATCTTGGCTCACTGCAACTTCCACCTCCTGGGTTCTAAACAATTCTCCCACCTCAGTCTCCTGAGTAGCTGGGACTACAGGGACGTGCCACTTCACCTGGCTGATGTTTGTATTTTTTGGTAGAGATGGGGTTTCACCATGTTGACCAGGCTGGTCTTGAACTCCTGGCTTCAAGTGATCTGCCTGCCTTGGCTCCCAGATTACTGGGTTTATGGGCATGAGCCACTGCGCCCAGCCTGTTTTTAAAATTATCAAAATAATTTTGCTTGGTAAGGAAATTTCTTGTATGAGAGCTGATACTATGGAAGGAGTTAAAGGTGGTACTGTCTTTTTAGATGAACTTTTCTGTATGGAATTGTTGTACCTAAAGATAGTTTTTGAATCTTCGGAGCCTGTTACTTTAGGGTCATAATGTTGCTGTCTTTAGAAGACCTTCAAAAATGGCATATTCTGAGGCCACTCTGGGGAATTTTAGGAAACTTAAGGACTCTATGAACACTTAGATTTTTCTCTTTGAGAGTCAGTTTTACTTAAATACATGTAGAGAAATTATATAAGAAATTATATATAAATTGTATATATATAATTATATATATACAAACTTGTATAAATTTGCTTTCATCTAATTTTTAGGTGTTTCAATGTTATCTACAACCTAAGATAAAAAGTACACAAAACTTTAGAGCACTTGGAAAACCTCCTCCTTTTTTTTTTTTTTTTTTTTTTAAGAGATGAGGGTCTCATATGTTGCCCAGGCTGGCTTTGAATTCCTGCGTTCAGGATTTCTCCTGCTTCAGCCTCTTGAGTAGCCTCTTGACTACAGATGCATGCCATCACATCTGGCTAATTTAAAAATATTATTTGTAGAGGCGGGGATCTCCCTTTGTTGCCCAGGCTGACCTCGTACTTCCGGGCTCAAGTGATCCACCTGCCTTAGCCTCTTGAATGTTGGGATTACAGGTGTGAGCCACCATACCTGACGGGAAGCCTTCTTTTGAAATGTACTGAGTCCTCAGAGGAGTCTGTGGTCTGCTCCTTGCACTAGATGCAGTGCTCATTGTATAATTAAATCCAGGTTTACACAGCACTTATAATCAGTGGGAAAAAGTCTAGAAAGATGCGGATTTTCTTTTGAAGCTCTCCTAGTTTAAGGATAATTTTGTTTTTAAGTGTGAATTGTTAGCACTGGAAGTCAAGTTTGTCTTAAGTTCATAGATTGATTTGTTTTCAAGAAGAGAACAAAAACACTTCCCTTCCTATTTTATTTCTGCGAGGAAAGCATTTACCATATCATTGGTCATTGTGTAACCCCGGCTTTTCCTTCTTCATGGTGACCATTTGGTCTCTAGGTCTCTGCGATGAAATGTGGCCTCTTGCCAATCTCCCCGGAGGCACTTTCCCTTGGAGAAGTGGCTTATCATGACTACCATGGCATTCTGGTTGATGAAGAGGAAAAAGTTTTGATTCAGAAAAATCTGGGGCCTAAAAGCAAGGTCAGTAGGCGTCTAATCTGGTATTTAAAGTACAGCAGAAAGAAGAGTAAAGCAAAGGACCAGTCTTCTTGTCCAGCTCCATAGAGCACTCCTGCTTCTCCTCAGGTTCTTATTCTCCGGAACCATGGGCTCGTGTCAGTTGGAGAGAGCGTTGAGGAGGCCTTCTATTACATCCATAACCTTGTGGTTGCCTGTGAGATCCAGGTAGGGGACAGCCATTCCAATCACTCTGCAGTTTATTTAGATGTGTCTGGGGTTCACATAGATTTTTTGATACTTACCGAGTAGAAGAGGAGTCTTTGAGCAATCTCTTTGCCAAAGATAAGCTCATGGATTTGGGACTTGATCAGGAGAAATGCTGTTTCACTGATTGAAGTTGGCAAAGGATTACTGGACTTTTCATTTCTAATTTTTAAATTTTCAAATATGTCAGTCACTACCGTTTATGGAGTACTGGTGTGTACCAGGCCTGGCATCAGGTGCTTAGCGTGTGTCATCTCGTACGTGATGTCGTGTGACCCCCCCACAGTACTCTTTGAAAAAGCAGGCATAAAGAAGTAGAGACTCAGAGAGTTGCCTGCAGCTTACAGCTGTGAGTTCCCCTCTGCTCTGTCAGCCCTTAGTCCATGTTCTCCCCTTTGCTTCTTGACTTATGTCTGTGGCGTAGTGAGGTCCCAAGTCCTTTGTAGGATCCTGAAAGGTGCTGTGTTTTCTCATTTCTCTGCCAACTTTGGTGCCCAATATTTTTGTCATGCTAAAGAAATACATCTGAAAGTAAGCCTGTGATCAGTCTATCACTATGCATTCTACATTTTCTATTCTTACACTCTAGAGATTTGGTTTCTTTTGAAATCTGCATTTTTATTCAAGTCATCTGACCCTCTTGATCTCAGTAAGGAACTCAAGCCATGCTGTGTGTGTTTTGGAAAAGGTTCGAACTCTGGCCAGTGCAGGAGGACCAGACAACTTAGTCCTGCTGAATCCTGAGAAGTACAAAGCCAAGTCCCGTTCCCCAGGGTCTCCTGTAGGAGAAGGCACTGGATCGCTTCCCAAGTGGCAGATTGGTGAGCAGGAATTTGAAGCCCTCATGCGGATGCTTGATAATCTGGTAAGAGTGGTGCCACTACTTGATGATAAACCTTATGTCTAAAAGCACCAGTGTTGGTGTTCTTATAGCAAGTGAGATTGCTGTCTTTATGCAGTATCTGAATATTTTCACCCTCAAAGTCATGAAGAAGCAGTAAATTACAATAAAATATAGAGGTGAAGGGTTCCTGGTATTGTTTTTTTTTTTTTTTTTTGAGACAGAGTCTCGCTGTGCTGGAGAGCAGTGGCGTGATCTCGGCTCACTGCAAGCTCTGCCTCCCAGGTTCACGCCATTCTCCTGCCTCAGCCTGCCGAGTAGCTGGGACTACAGCCGTCCACCACCATGCCTGGCTAATTTTTTGTATTTTTAGTAGAGACGGGGTTTCACCGTGTTAGCCAGGATGGTTTCAGATCTCCTGACCTCGTGATCCGCCCGCCTCAGCCTCCCAAAGTGCTGGGATTACAGGCGTGAGCCACCGCGCTCGGCCTATTGTTTTATTTTTTAAAGATAACCTTTGTGTTTGGACTCAGTGGGGACAAGAGCACAGAGAATGCATAGGCTGCTGAATGACCAGCTGCATCAGCTCAGTCCCCACCGTCCCACAAGCAAGCGAGAGAGGTGGCGCTTTTGAAATAGGTCAGTCAGGTACTTAGGCTTTTGCCTTAACAGCAGGTCCTGGCTGTTTGGGGCCTGATGACTGTGTTACATGGGTATCCACTCCCTGTCCACAGTGTGGGAGCCCCTGAGCTGCTTATTGCAGGGACAGAACCCGGCATGGTCCAGAGGGCAGGCCCGTGGGGCCTCCAGCACACAAGGAAAGTGAGCCCACACTGTGATAGGAGGACACGCAGGATGTGTTCTGTGTTATAGCGTTGCTGTGAAGAATTTCATTCTTTTGCAAGGACTGGAGAGAAAATTTTATGTGGAAGGTAGCCCTTGGAAATGATCTCAAAGAATAGGTAGGATCTTAGCCTGAGTTTGAAAGCCTGGGGAAAAAAAAGGATGACAGCATGAAGAGGCCACAGCACAGCTGCAGACAATGGGAGTGGGGAGATGGAAACATGCACCGTACGGTGCACCTTTCAGGTTCATCTTGACTTTGTCAGGATCGTTACTCAGTTCCTAGAGCTGTATTAGAACACTGCCCTTGGGTTCTTAGTCCTGCAGCCACATCATCAGACACAGGGCTCTGGAGCAGATCCCTTCCATGCTGCACATCAGACCTCTTAGATGGGGGTCACAGTGGTCCATCCTAACACCACGTGACCTCAAGAGGTGTAGATGTGAGGACATGTCAGTGTGGGGAAAGAAGGCCTCAGAGGGGCCAGTGTCCTTGTATGCTGCCAGCCAGTACTGGACAGGATCACAGATCACAGATGAGATGGGTGGCTTCAGGAGGCAGGAAGTTTAACTTTCCTGAAGGTTTGGAATAAAGAGAATTCATAGGTGTGATTCAGGCTATGTTAAATGTTCTTACTGAAATTCTTTGCACTCGTGATGAATATTGTCCGCTAGAAAGGAAAAACTGAGAGTGTTCTGCCTGGGCGCGATAGTCAATCAGTGGAGTAGACTCAATCAGTGACAGAGGAACAGAGAAGGCAGAGTCTAGCGTAACTTTTCAAAGTTCATATAATCAGTAAGATTGATTACATTAATTGACTGTCTACTATTGAGTCATGAACAGGACACAGTTCTTGCCCTCAGGAGTTTATGACCTAATAAGAGAAATGGACAAATGAATCCCAAATGAGCCCTGCCCCTGTGATCTGTGCAGTCATAGGCATGACGAGAGCTTGCAGGCAGAGGTGGGTGCTGATTGGTCAAGGAAGTAGGAAGAGGAGCAAGAACTCACGAAGAAGGCTGAAGAAGCACTTAGAGTTGGGTGGCCAGCCAGGGTAGTGAAGCTGCAGGAACTCACAGCTGGAGAAAGCTTGAGAGTGGGGCAGCCATGGCCCAGGTGTGTGTCAGGAGCCAGGTCATTCAGCATGGCTGCACAAGGTGAGGAGGGCTGGGGTTGGCCCAGTCACACAGCCCCTGCCTCCTGGTAAATACGGCAACGTTTCGCTGCTCTTCTACTTAAAGTCAGTGTAAGGAAGGGGAGAGAGGGGTTCAGAATGCACAGCAGCCACCAGAGACTGCGCTGAAAGCACATCCTAGAGGGGAAGGTCAAAATCGAGCAGAAACTCTGATTTGGTAGGGAAGGAAGAGAAGGATGAATGATTAATAAGTAAAACATTCATTACAAAAAGCATGATGAATGTTTATTCAGTGTCCTTAATGTGTACAGATTGTTTTAATATTAGAAGGCCATATTATATTTATGAGAAATAAACTAGACAGGAATCACTAATCATAGTCCATGTTTTAATTTAGCATTGGGATTGGCATATATGTTGTTTGCTAATAACTAAGTAGAGAATAGTTGCCAATTTCCACACTATAATATATATTGCAGCCAAGCACAGTGGCTCACACCTGTGATCCCAGCACTTCAGGAGGCTGAGGTGGGAGACCAGGAGCTTGAGACCAGCCTGGGCAACATAGCAAGACTCCTCTCCACAAAAAATAAAAAAATTTCAAAAAGAGAGATATATTTCATTTGAACTTCCACAGTTAGAAAAAAATGCTAAATTGTTCCCCCCGCAAAAGAAAGTCAAGATACAATTTCCGTTTCTCAAAGAAGGAACAAATCCATATATATTTTTTTCTTTCTTTCTTTTTTTGGTAGAGACAGGATCTCATCATGTTGCCTAGGCTGGTGTTGAACTCCTGGGCTCAAGCAGTCCTCCCACCTCAGCCTCCCAAAGTGCTAGGATTACAGGTGCAAACTACCATGCCTGACCCAAAGCCATGTTTTTAACTACAAGCCAGGTAGTAGTTCTGAGGTCTGAGTATTACTTCTGGTTTTGATTTAACAGCGTTTAAAGGGGAAGAATAAAGAAAAATCTGTATGGTGTCAGGAAAAAATGATGTTGATGAGTCCTGGGTGGTTTATTCTGAAGTTATGGAGATTACTGAGTCCTGGCTCTTTTTAAGTAAGAGGAAACTTGAATTAATAAGAACTGTGTTTTTTTTTTGCAGATAGTCTTTATGGCAGAGTCATTATCTTTTATTATTCCTCAACAAAGCATGCTCAGAAATGGGAAAATTGCCAGTACAGACATTTACCTTATCTTTCTGAGGATAATTATGAAAATAAAACCCAAAACAACTCCATTAGTGATTGTTATTACCTTTTTAAAAAAATGTAGGCCAGGCATGGTGTCTCATGCCTGTCATCCCAGCACTTTGGGAGGCCAAGGCAGGTGGATCACCTCAGGCCAGGAGTCCAAGACCAGCCTGGCCAACATGGTGAAACCCCTTCTTTACAAAAATTAGCCAGGGGTGGTGGAGGGTGTCTGTGATCCCAGCTACTCAGGAGGCTGAGGTAGAAGAATCGCTTGAACCCGGGAGGCAGAGGTTGCAGTGAGCCAAGGTCGAGCCACAGCACTCCAGCCTGGGTGACAGAGCAGGACTCCATCTCAAAAAAGACTCCATCTCAAAAAAAAATTAAATAAATAAATAAAATTATGGGGGACCGGGCATGGTGGCTCATGTCTGTAATCCCAGCACTTTGGGAGGCCGAGGCAGGCAGCTCATGAGGTCAGGAGATCGAGACCATCCTAGCTAACACAGTGAAACTCCATCTCTACTAAAAATGCAAAAAATTAGCTGGGTGTGGTGGCACGTGCCTGTAATCCCAGCGACTCGGGAGGCTGAGGCAGGAGAATCGCTTGAACCCAGGAGGTGGAGGTTGCAGTGAGCCAAGATGGCGCCACTGCACTCCAGCCTGGGCAACAGAGTAAGACTCTGTCTTGAAAAAAAAATTAAATTAAAAAAAATTAAAAAAATATATTGAAAGAGTGATTAGTAATGAAGGTGGCCCCCCAAAAAGAGCAGAGGGGAGAGAGAATTCTGAATTGAGAGGTATGTTTCTAGAGTACCGTAGCCAGCAGGGCACAGGCCACTGAAGTTTCTTGTATGTCTGGCCCCATGCAGTCCTTCCAAGTCCTAATTCTCTTGTGATGTATTGTGAAGGTGCTGTGAGTGACTTGGTTCAGGTGCGAATCTGTTAGGTTGTTTAGCAGACAGCTCTTCGGCATCCCCTGTATTACCTGTCTGTGCTGTGCAACAAATCACTACAGACCTGGCGGCTTCGAGCAGCAGCCATTTATTTCCCAGCTTCTATGGAGCAGGAGTCCAGGCACAGCGAACTCAACCTAGGGTCTCATAAAGGCTGCATTCAGGCTGTTGGCTAGGGCTGGTTCTCATCATGAGACTTGACTCAGAGGATCCACATCCAGGCTCTTCTAGACTGCGGACAGAATTCCTTTTCTTAGGGCTGAAGCATTCTTGGCAGCTTTGCTTCTTCAGATCCAGCAGTGGAGAGAGAGACTCTTATAAGACAGGCGCTACACTCTTCTGTGATACAGCCCGTCATCACCTTTTGTGAATTCTGCTACTTAGAAGCAAGTCAGACATCTCACCCATGCTCAAGGTGGGAGGGGATTATAGGAGCTGGGGGCCTGGGGCCACTATGAAGTCTGTCTGTCACACTTAACAAGTGGTAAGCACTGGCCAGGAGACATGCAGAGGACACCGTCCTTGCCCTTAGAGATGCTGTCTGTGGGAGGACTCTGCAGACGAGTTGGTCCAGTAGAAGTGTGAAGTAAGTGGGGCCGTCTTTTACCACAGAGCACATGGTCATGAGGCAGAGCTGGAGGTGAATTTGAATGTTGTTGTATTCAGATGTAAAGTAATTTTGCTGAGAACCAGTTGTCATGAGTATACTTATTTACCTTACTTACCTAAAGATTATCACAGTATTTAAACTGTAACTTAAGAGGTAAAAATCTATTAAGTAGGTTGATGAATATAACCTGCACAGTAGCTGGCAGCATGTAAGCCCTGTTTGGGTGTTCAACTTTAATTTTTTGCTGAGATATGTAAGCAAGAGAGTACACCTACCGCAAGTGTTCAGTTTGTTAATTTTTAAAAACTGAACCCTCTGTATAACCAGCAGTCAATAAGAGCAACAGTAGCAGCACCTTAGAACATCCCCAGCACCTCCTTCAGTTCACTTGTCCCATCCCAGGGGTGACAACTGTCCTGTCTCCCAGGACAACCAAAACAAAGGCTGTTTTGCATCTTCTGCACTTTTAATGAATGGAGTTACGTGGTCTATGTTTTTTGCAGATTGGTCTCTCTCACTCAGCTTTGCCTTCAGGAGAGTCATCCACGTGGTTGGTTTAGAGCACATTGTGTTTCTCTAGGCCATCTTATGAAGACAGTACACTATCCATCTCTTATACGGATGGACTTTTGGGTTGTTTCCAACTGTGGTTTACGAGGAGTAGGGTTGCTCTTCACATTTTAGTACCTGGCGTTTTGGTGAACACGTTTGCTTCTGTTGGGTATAAAATTAGGAGTGGAATTGCTGAGTCATAGGGTATGCATGTGTTCAACTTTTGTGGCTATTTCCACATGATTTTCCAAAGTGAAACCCTGTTTTGAGATCTGGAATATTGACTGTCTTTCACTCTCCTTGGACCCTAGGGCTACAGAACTGGCTACCCTTATCGATACCCTGCTCTGAGAGAGAAGTCTAAAAAATACAGCGATGTGGAAGTTCCTGCTAGTGTCACAGGTTACTCCTTTGGTAGTGACGGTGATTCGGGCACTTGCTCCCCTCTCAGACACAGTTTTCAGAAGCAGCAGCGGGAGAAGACAAGATGGCTGAACTCTGGCCGGGGCGATGAAGCTTCCGAGGAGGGGCAGAATGGAAGCAGTCCCAAGTCGAAGACTAAGGTGTGGACGAACATTACACACGATCACGTGAAACCCTTGCTGCAGTCTCTCTCGTCCGGTGTCTGCGTGCCAAGCTGTATTACCAACTGCTTGGTCTGTGCCTACCTTACTGTTCATAGTTAGATGATGTAGAGCAAGTTGGGTAGCTGGGGCTTCGGAGGCTTTGGGAATCCAGCCTTTCTGACCCAGGTGTAAAGCGAACCTTCCTTATTCACTTTCTTGTAGTTCTGAATCTAAGTCCACTGAATGCATTACTCAAATCTGGGTAATACTGTCTGCTTGAAACTGCTTAAGATGTAATGTGACTCTGCAGTAGTTCCAGTGTATCTCCGTATATAGCAGAAATACAAAATAGTGTACATGTATTAACCTACAAATAGGAGCTCTTCTGATTTAATTCAAATTGTATTCAGGGACTCTTAATATTTCATGCACAAAAAGACACTTCAGTCCTAAACCTGATATTTTAGTGTTGTGGACTCCAGTGGTTTCAAGTCACTAAAGTTTCTTCTTTAAGTCTTCAGTGTTTTCTTAAGCAGTTTTCCCTCGTGGCTCCCTGGCGTGTTCTCTGCTGACCCTTGTCCCCTGCCCTTAGTGTTACTCCCCTGCTTTCTATCCCAAAGCCTCCGAATGCACACCCCCAGCTGCCCTCTGCATGGACTGTTGCATGTGAGTAGACGGCCATAGTAGTGAGTCATCTTCTGACTCCTGCTGGGTGCGGCATGACCCAAGTGCAGCGCAGGCCATCTGCAGGCACCAGCGACAGACGCTGCAAGGGTGCTTCGTTTCAGCGGTAATGCCGCTCAGTTACTGTTTGCCCTGAGAGGTGCTCCCATGTCGTGGTACTGAGACCTCCTCTGAAGATCGGTCTTTACTCCTCCTGTAACCTACCTCTAACAGTCCACCCAGCTCTGCTTTAAACCATAGAAGAGGCCCATTTCCAGAAGCCCCTGGAATGGAGGAGACAGAGGCTGAAGCAGACTCATCTATGCATGACTAGTTCATTAGGAGTTCAGTTGAAGTTAGATTCGATGCTCCTAAAACCTGGGCAACCAAATACATAAAGCGGGGCTTTCTTTTCCCCTTCTAACAGTGCTTTGCTTTATAGATTTATTTAAAGAAAAAAGTTGTGTCTTCCCCAGGTGGTCCTGGTGTTTTCCTGATGCAGTTGGTGAGAAGCCTCTGTGCTCCTGAGCGGCCATGGCACCTGGGCAGGGACCCTGTGTGGCCGTGGGGCTCCGAGCGTGGGAGTGCGTCTCTCCTCTTCTCTCCTCCCTCCTTGTCTCCTTTTCCCCCCTTCCTGTCTTCCCCTTTTCTTTCATTTGTTTATTTTTTAGTTGTTTCACTTGTTAAAGGAAGTGGGCCTTATTAAAAAAAACAAAAACAAAAAAAACCCCAAAACACCTTTCTGTGGCTGATGTGAAGCACAGTGCTGAGTTGTCATGAGGAATTTTCCCCAAGTGTTCAGGCAGCAGCGCAAGCTTTATTTACCATTAGCTTGCAAAACAACGAAGTCACTTTAGGCCTTTTAGTCAATGTGTACATCCAAGGGGAGGCCTTGCTCCGCATTTAAATTTGTTTCTTACTGTTCTGGAGGGATACAGATTCCATGCAGTGCTCCCAGGTTGGTATCTTTTCATTTATAATGACTGTTGTTACTTTTTCAAATGTGTTCGAGTTTCTGAGGTTGCTGTTTGAATGTTTTGACTGAAAATTATTTTTAATAAAACGCTGGAGTTGTTTTTATCTGAGAAGATAACCATCAGTGAGTACCCACAGCTCCATGCCCATTCCACACTCTCCTCGCAGTGGCTCAGCATTTGATGGTTTTGTTGCTTTTTTTGAAGTTGTATGGTTTATGGCTATCTTACTGCCTCTCGAAAGTATTCTGAAAGGCATAACATTTGCTCTCGAAGATGGGCTTGTTTTAATGTTCAGTGCTTACTCATGCCTTAGAATTTGATGAAAAATCTCAAATTTGATTGGAGATCCAAAAAAAAATTATGAGTGGAAGGCTGAGCATGCTGACGAGATGCACTGATACTAAAACAGCCTTTAAATATTAAGGACTCATGAAGCGCTTCAAGTTTGTTTGGGATATTTTTGTAACACTCAAAAATATTAAGTTATATAAAATATTCGACATCACCAAACTCTTCTTCCAGGTAGCTACTGTGTAAGTGTCCGTACAGTAATTTTCTTGGGTTGAAATAGTTATGCAGACAGTGCATTCTGATGCTGTCATTTATTTTAACACAAAACTTTGGTGATGCCCACTCTTGCCTCACGGTGCAGGCTCCTCCCTACCCCCGGGTAGCAGCATCACATTGCTTTTCATGACCCTGTCATCTCATGCTTCCAGTTGGCTTTGGTGTTGGATGATTTTCAGAGCGGTGAACCAATGGTCTCTGAGGGGCCTCCCCTGCTGGTCCCAGGGTTATGGGGCTCAGCTCTGTCGTCAGCCTACGTTGTGACCCAGATTCAGCTGGGCTTTCCAGATGGTCCTTTTCCATCAGTCATGACTTTGACTTCCACTATTAACTGGTCTTCATGTGGCTGCATCCTGCTCCCATGGCGACTCTGCTGAGTGACCCAGAAGATGTGGTCATTGGTTCATTCCTCTCTGTGATGTTCAGTGCATGACCAGATGTGAGATAAACTGGATAGATTGGATGCTGTGTCACTTATTGTTGTCATAATTCTGACTTTTCAACTGTTCTTGATATTACAGTGGACTAAAGAGGATGGACATAGAACTTCCACCTCTGCTGTCCCTAACCTGTTTGTTCCATTGAACACTAACCCAAAAGAGGTCCAGGAGATGAGGAACAAGGTGTGTCCTGCGTCGGCACTCAGTGGGGGCTTGGGGGTGGGATTGGAAGGGATGCCAGCTGCTTTGGTTGGGGGAGGGGTGTGATTGCTTCTAGCAGAGGACATCTGCTGTTGCCACTGTTGTAACTGAAGCCATCTCTTCCTACTGCTGCTGTTCTACCAGCAGTGTGAAGTATGAGCAGCAGACATTTTGTTTGGGCCCTGTTGATTCGTGAACTGATGTTTGCTCACAGGTCAGAACTGGAAGCTGCAAAACCTGTTCTTAACAAGAGCAGACTCCTGTCCCTGATTTTCAGGGTTCGTTCAAAGACTTGTGAGTGGCATTTGGTTTATCAGAGCAGGAGCCCTGCCAGTGCTCACATCACTAGACAACGGACATGCAGAGAGTGTTAATGACACCAAGTTAATGATAGTGAGAGACAGGTGCCCTACTCAAGCATCTGAAAGATGTGGGGAGCTGGGAATAGTCTCCATCCCTGCAGACCAACACCCCACTAAGCGGGCATGGCGCTCACTCAGAACACATGGGGCCATCCTGCCTGCGTAGGGCACGGGGAGAGCTGAAGTGTAGCTTCCATGTGGCTGGGGCCCAAGTGCATAGCAGCATGGCTCCCAGGCAGCATGGCTGCTCAGGACCGCTGATATGTGCCTCTCCTTCCTATCCTCAGATCCGAGAGCAGAATTTACAGGACATTAAGACGGCTGGCCCTCAGTCCCAGGTTTTGTGTGGTGTAGTGATGGACAGGAGCCTCGTCCAGGTGAGAGCCCAGAGTGTCTCTGACATTAGTGGGTGGTGGCTGTGTGACCGCCTTCTCCAAAGTTATTCTGAAATTGAGAGAGTGACTTTATGAGGTAAGTATTCTAGGCAACCAGTTACCTTTTTTAAAACCTTCATGATGAGAAATAGTCCAGGCATTTTTCCTTGAGTTCTAGATGGAGCCAGCATGCCCGTCTGGTCCCGCCCCTTGTAATGCATGCATATATGAGGGTGGCACATACACCACCAGCTTTGGGGCTTAGATTTGGCCCGGGTTCAGCAGCATTCTGTGTAAGGTGCTAGGAGAGGGCGGGTTTAAGGGACTCTTGTTGTGGTACATATTGCTGTCTGCAACAAAGTGCTGCTTGGGTTGCAGAGGGCCGGGTGCCTGTAAATGTGGTGCACATTCACACCCGTTTCTACAAAATGACTCTGCCTTGTGGCATTGAAGATAATTGAAGATAATTGTGTAAGTAGTTATCTCTGAAAACTAATATGCCACCTAATGCTTTAACACCTGACTCTGCAGGGGTAGACGATTGTTGGATTTGGCCAGCCGTGGTCCTGGTTTCATGTTCAGTGTCTGCACGTCCCGCCATCATCACCACCACATTTACTGTTGACAGCTGTCCCTGCTGCATGCTCTTAGCCAGCTCCATCCTGTGCTCTCAGCTGATATTTCACAGGCTGGGCCTGGTGTGCTCTGGTGACTCAGTTTACTGTTTCAGGATGCACCTCTCTCTGACTGTACGGAAACTATCGAAGGGCTCGAGCTTACAGAGCAGACCTTTAGTCCCGCTAAATCTCTCTCTTTTAGAAAGGTACTCACTGCCCTGTCCTCACTACCTGTCTATGCGCCTTGCTCCCCTCCCTTCCCCTCTCCCTGTCTCCTCTCTTCAGGCATTGTCTTAGTTACTGAAGTAGCTTCAAATGGCTCTTTAAACTGTTTGTGAGATTGTACAGAAGGTTCTGTTCTACCTGCTCAATTCTTTAATTAAAACATTTGGTATGAGGTGTGATGATAATCTCCAGCATTCGAAGTTGTTGCTGAGAAATGGCCAGTCTGAGCGATGTGGTGCATTTCCGCAGTTCCGCACGGGACTTTGCCTTCTCCACGATGCTGACTGCAGACAGGCTCTTCTGGGCAGTCTGTTGCTGTTGGCAGCGGCCACTCCTGAGTGCCCTTCCACACTTGCTAGTTCAGCTTTGGCTGTAAATGTCATCAATGTAGCCACTGGAGGTCATATCATTGAAAGATGTCATTTCAGAGGAATGGGAATTCAGACAGTCTTTGTCAGCCCTTGTTGATAAAATGTATTTATTTACCTCAAAAATAAACCCTAAATAACATTTTTAAATGCCGCAGAGCAGAAAGACTTAGGAGAGTTTGAAACCCCACATCGTAATTTCCCTCTGTGCATGCGTACCTAGTGTGTGCAGTAGGTGGAAGATCTGTCTGAACCTACCCTCATAGAAGAAAACCTTCCCTAAGCATTAGGCTGCTAGTGTGCAGGAGTTGGTGCCCTGGGCAGAAAGTGCCTGACCGCATGGTGGAGTCTTAGCTGAGAGGCATGTTTATATTCTTGTCAAAGGAAATTTCCAGAACCGTCTCTTTCACTTGACACACCTTCATTCAGATGCACATGTCACTTTAGTAGGTGTTCCAGTTCCCATATAGAAGCGGGTTTGTAGCAAAGATTCTGTATTCCTGTCTAATCCCTGCTAATAACATTATTTTGCATATTTACTTATTAATTCCACAGGTCCTGTTTTTCCCTGTGCTTAGAGCATACTTCCGGCTGCCATTCTTGGAAGAACTTCTCATAGCAGGGGAGAAAGATGACTCTGCCTGTTGCTTGTTTTTCATCTTTTGGCACTTTGTTGCGGTCTTGTCAGTTGTTCTTTCTCTCAGGTGTGTGAGGGCTGTGCAGGCCATGAGCCCAGCTGGCCTGCTGTGTAGAGCCCACATGAGGGCAGCACTGAGGCCCTTGTTAGGGCTCTCCAGAAAGCAGCCTGGGTCGCCGTGGTCAACCACCAGTTACAGCTTTGTGTGCTCTGTCCCAGTGATATTCAGATGTGGGTGTGTGTCACAGTCACCTGGGTGTTTCCTGAACGACAGAGGTAGGGTCTCTACCTTCTGAACACCATGCTTGCTGCGAGTGCTGCATCCAGGTGTAATTAGCAGAGAATACCACTGTACACTGACCCCATAGGAAGAGAGGTTGACCCCCTGGACAGAAATCCTTGTTTCAGCTTTGTGTTTTCTCTGCCTTCTTGTATCTGAAGTTCACTTTTGCACCCTTGGTGTTTATCCCACACTGGCTAAAATACCCTCTTTTTGGTGAGAATGTGCTTTGGCTCCATGGGAGTCCTTTACAGGGCGATTGTTCCACTTCCTTTCATGTGAACCTCAAAGCACAGTCAGTCTTACTTCTTTTGGAACATGGCGCTGCATGTTAAGAAGTTGAATTTTTCCTTGACCAAGCAAGGAGGACTGTGTCCTACACACTCCCCTCCCCAGCGCGGCGAGCACGTAGATACCTACTTCCCATCTGAGAACCTGAGGAACGGGTATTTGGGACTTAGGGAGCTGGGGATTTTCTGGAAAGGACTTTCCTTTGCCTTCCATTTCTCCCTCACTGGCAATGGCCATTCACACAGTGCAAGTGTTGCCTTCTGACAGAAGAAGGGACAGTGAGTCAGAGTTCAAACAGGAGTTCTAAGCCCAGCCGAAGGCTGTGTTGACTTTCCTTTGGGTGTCATAACATGTAACCTGAAATACAGATACATATATATGTATTTTTTGAGACAGGGTCTCACTCTGTTGTCCAGGCTGGAGTGTGGTTGGGCTATCTTGGCTCACTGCAACCTCTGCTTCGCAGGCTCAAGAAATCCTCCCTCCTCCCACCTCAGCCTCCTGAGTAGCTGAGACTACAGGTGCACATCACCACACCTGGCTAATTTTTGTATTTTTTTGTAGAGACTGATTTTGGCCATGTTGCCCAGGCTGGTCTCAAACTCCTGAGCTCAAGCAGTCCACCTGACTCAGTCTCCCAAAATGCTGGGATTTTAGGGTGTGAGCCACCTTATCCGGCATAACCTGAAATAATTTTGGCTGCCTTCTGGATTCAATTTTAAGTGAAATGAAGGATTAGAGATGAAGATGTGTGTCTATACTGCAAGCTGTTCAGCCCAGGGAAGGACTCTGTGTTCCCATGTGCACCTCACCGGGGGCTGTGTTCCCTGCCACCCTTCATGCTGTGTGGTAGAAATGCAGAGGGGCAGTAAGCTCAGCCCTCGGATTCTCTCACTGACCTGTGTTGAGCACCTAACCTGTGCATGGTCCAGCACTGGAAATGCCAGTCCAGATCCAAGTCGGCCCTGCTTGTAGATGAAAACCTGATGGTCAGAGAGGTCAGCCGCTAGCGCAGTTTGCACAACCTCAGGCAGAGCTGTTGTTCCACCTAGGCTGCCTCAGTCAAGTATGGAAAGTGTTACCGGGTCTGTGTTTTGCCTTAGAGCCTTGTCAGGTGACAGGAAGGTGAGGGGAGTGGCAGGAGGGGAAGCTAGGTACATCTTGGTTGCCTGCCTGGGTTGTCCATGAGTGGCATATGTTTCTCTGCATCTCAGTCATTGCTCTGTGTCCTTTCTTGCAGAGGAATGTGATTCTCTGTTCCCGTAACTAGTCTTGACAGCAGCTTGGCCTTTAGCTGTGGTCTTTGGAGGAGGGCGCTCTCCACCACTGGAGGCAGGGACCTGCTGCGCTGTGCCTCGGGCTTCAGCTCTCTCAGTATGAGAGAGCCCCGCTTGTCCTTTGGGGCATCAAAATTGGGAACAAGGGCTTTGGTGTCTCTGTGCCAATGGATTTTTATTTTTATTTTGAGACAGCATCTTACTCTGTGGCCCAGCCTGGAGTGCAGTGGTGCAAGCATGGCTCACTGCAGCCTCTACCTCTCAGGCCAAAGGAATCTTCCCACCTCAGCCTCCTCAGTAGCTGGACTACAGGTGCATGCCACCACACCTGGCTAATTTTTAAATTTTTTGTAGAGACGAGGTCTCACTATGTTACCCAGGCTGATCTTGAACTCCTGGGCTCAAGCAATTCTTCTGTCTTGGCCTCCCAAACTGCTGGGATTATAGGCATGAGCTGTGGTGCCTGACTGATAGTCGATTCTTTTTGTTTGTTTGTTTGTTTGAGACGGAGTCTTGCTCTCTCGCCCAGGTTGGAGTGCAGTGGCGCAGTCTCGGCTCACCTCAACCTCTGCCTCCCGTGTTAAAGTGATACTTTTGCCTCAGTCTCCCCAGTAACTGGGATTACAGGTGCCCACCACCATGCCTGGTTAACTTTTTTGTATTTTTAGTAGAGACGGGTTTTCGCTGTGTTGGCCAGGGTGGTCTTGAACTCCTGACCTCAGGTGATCTACCCGCCTCAGGTTCCCAAAGTGCTGGGATTACAGGTGTGAGCCACTGTGCCTGGCCTGATAGTTGATTCTTGATGTTTGATTCCTTTACTGATTTTAACCATTTGATTGAAATGAACTTAAGCGTTTCTCTTGTGTCACCTTCTCATTTCATTGGCAGTGATATCAGGATGCAGGTGCAGCCAGCCAAACTGCCTTTGCTGGGATACCGTCTCTAGGGTGCCATCGTGTGAGGGCTCTTAGCAGTGGACAGCCCAGCCGGTCCTCCTTCAGATAGTGAGGCAGGCCTCTGGTCAGGGAAAGACTTGGCTCAGGCCACAGAGCTAACACATGGCAGACAGGACTCAGTTTCCTGTCTTGGTGAGGTAGGGCAGCTTCTTAATGAAAAGTCAACGGGCCTCAAGTCAGACCCGGTTCAGAAGAGGGTTCCCCTTGACCTGTTGACTGTCGAGAGTCTTCCGGGCAAAGGTTGCCTATTCCAGCAGTCCATCTGTCCCTCCTGGGGCTCTGGGCTCTGTGTCACTAGTCAGCACCGGGTACGCAGCATGCTAGTTGGTAACCCCTCAGCCCATCCCAGTCAATCCAGGCTCCCCCGTCTCTGCTTGAGGAGCAGTCAGCCCGGGTGAGTTGAATTTCCCAAGTCAGTCCTGCTAGGACACTCTTTATCTCTGGTGTTCACCCCTCACTGAGAGGAACACTAAAGGACCAGGCCTGGCATTCAAAGAATTGTGGATTCTCCTGTTTTTATTTGGTTTTGGAAGCTGTCGTTCAGTCATGTGCATGTGTGTTAGCGCTGGGTAACTGTCTCAGAAGTGAGCTCCAGGGTAGCCGGGCGTGGTGGCGGGCGCCTGTAGTCCCAGCTACTCAGGAGGCTGAAGCAGGAGAATAGCGTGAACCCGGGAGGTGGAGCTTGCCATGAGCCGAGATTGTGCCACTGCACTCCAGCCTGGGCAACAGTGCGAGACTCCATCTCAAAAAAAAAAAAAAAAAAAGAAGGAAAAGAGCTCCAGGGAATTGGGGGACATTTCCCTGCCCCTGGCCCAATCAGGCTGCACTGTGGGCACAGCAATGTGCTGGGGCAGGTGGCTGTGAGTGGACCTCACCCCTGACACCCACCCGGCCCACTGTGTTGGCCTCAGGTTCCCTCCTGCTTTAAGATTGGTGTGATCTGTGAGCCGCCTTTGTGCTTCGCTTTGCCTTCTTCTTTTTTTCTTTGGTACAAATGTTCAGTTTTCCAAATTCCTCAGCTAAACACTGGTGTCTTGGGACATTTTGTTATCTCTGAATGTTTTGGGATAAATTCCAGGAACTAGTTATAAACTAACCATAGTCAAAAGAACAGAACTTACCTGTGCTCTTAGAATATAAGCAAAGCTCTGAGCATGCCTTATGTTGTAGCTTGTGACAGTTTCTGATGTCATGAGGAAAAGTTACTGACTTTTAAACAGTAACAGGAAAGGGCCTTTTCCCCTTCTGTTCGACAGAGAGGAGTAGCGGGCACCCTCCCTGAGGTGCTCTGTGCTCTTGGGTCTGCATTGCGCTTTTGCTTCTGAAACCTGGAAGGCTCTGTAGGATTTCTTCTGCGGTTAATGTCTGTTCATCGTGGCACTGACCTGTGTTTCCATATCTACCACTGAAGGCTGCAGCTCAGCTTAGGCCTCGGGCCCATGGCAGTGCCGTCTCAAGGGTGTCTGCTCCTGGAAAGCCTCCTGTCCCCGCCCTGCCTGTAGCCTGCCTGGGAGGAGGGAGAGTCCCCGCTGGACTGGGCTCCTGCAGACCAGACATGCCTTTCATCCACAGGGAGAGCTGGTGACGGCCTCCAAGGCAATCATTGAGAAGGAGTACCAGCCCCACGTCATCGTGAGCACCACGGGCCCCAACCCCTTCACCACGCTCACAGACCGCGAGCTGGAGGAGTACCGCAGGGAGGTGGAGCGGAAGCAGAAGGGCTCTGAAGGTGAGTGCTTGTGGTCCTGGGCACTGCCACTCCAGAAGGTGAAAGTGCCCTGGGAGCTTCTCTGTGGTCCAGGTGCTGGCTGTGGGTGGTGATAAGAATAGCCACATGCATCAAAGTCAAACCAGAACTTTATCCAGTACTCATTTCCAACCTAGTCACTCAGGCCAGAATGGAAGAAATTGCAGGCCGGGCATGGTGGCTCACGCCTTTAATTAGCTGGGTGTGGTGGCGCATGCCTGTAATCCCAGCTGCTACTCGGGAGGCTGAGTCAGGAGAATCGCGTGAACCTGGGAGGCGGAGGTTGCAGTGAGTTGAGATCATGCCGTTGCACTCTAGCCTGGGCAACAAGAGAGAAACTCCCATCTCAATTAAAAAAAAAAAAAAAA